TAGGTGAGGCCGTCCGAGGCGCAGGTGAAGCTGGGCTCCTTCTCGCAGCGGTCTCTGCACTTGCACACGGGCTGGCCGTCCCAGATGTCGCACTCGGAGCCCTGCTGCAGGCACATGAAGTGGTCGCAGGTGGCCTCCTTGGGCATGCCCACCGGGCCCTTCTTCCCCTTCACGTCCATGTAGCGGGCCGCCACGCAGCTCTTGGTCCCACACACGTTGGGGCAGCACTTCTCGTAGGTCTCACATTCCTGGAGAGAGCCAGAGCGAGAGGCCTGAGCGAGGGGAGGGAGGGAGGGCGGGTTTCCCTGCCCCGCCCCATGGTTTCTGTAGAGAGAACTAATATGTGCTCATGTTTCTTATTTTTAATATATATTTTATTGATTTTTACAGAGGGAAAGGGAAAGGGGTAGAGAGTTAGAAACATTGATGAGAGAGAAACATCGGTTAGCTGCCTCCTGCACACCCCCCACTGGGGATCGAGCCCACAACCAAGGTACATGCCCTTGACTGGAATCGAACCCGGGACCCTTCAGTCCATGGGCTGATGCTCTATCCACTGAGCCAAACCGGTTAGGGCTCTTATTTATTGATTTTTCTTAGAGAGAGAAAGGAGAGGGACAGAGACATAGAAACATCAGTGGCTGCCTCCTGCACGCCCCCTACTGGGGATCACACTCAAAACCAGGCATGTGCCCTGACTGGGAATAGAACCGGGGGCCTCTCTGTTCATGGGACAGCACTTAACCAACAGAGCCACACCAGCCGGGCAATGTGTGCCCATCCATCGTGAGCAAAATGCTCTGGTGAGAATAGCTAATGCGCACAGAGCACCCGCCAGGACAAGCATGTTTGCGTTTGTCAACTTAGTCAGTGCTCATCGCAAGCCTATGGGTGGGTGTACCGTTCTCCCCACTTCACAGGCGGTGATCACTGAGGCACAGAGAGAGCAGGTGACTTGCCCAAGGCCACACAGCCAGTCCTGTGGGAAGAGCCAGCCACAGCCCTCTCCCTGCAGGCGCACAGATGAGCACGCAGAGCCTCGGGGCGGCAATGCCGAGTGCACAGGGCACGTGCTGGGAAAGGGCTCCGGGCTCCCGGGGGTGGAATTCTAAAGTGAGGTTTTACCTTCTACGTCACATGCACCATCTAGTGACCACGGATGAGGTCTAGGTGGGCACAAACGCCTCTTGGTCTTTTTTTCCCTTCAGGGTAAGGCTGCCCGGGCCGCGGGGGAGAGGTCACACCAAACGCCGAGAAGGAAAAGGGGGACCGAGGTTCGAGGCTGACTGCACACACCTCGGAAGCAGCGGCTCCAATGAGAGGCCCCATCCGTCCACAGCCCAGAGGAAGGGCGGGCGGGACAGGCCCAGGACGCCAGGTCGGCCACCACGGGCTGTGCCAGACCCCGGCGCCCACTCCTAACGCGGGGGACATTTCATGGGGAGATCAGCAAGGAGGCCGCCAGGGGACTCACACGCCTCTAATTCCCTCCGCGCCTCTGTGGAGCCACCTTAGGCATTCATTCCTGGTTTAATTCCTAGAAATTAGCAGCGAGCTCAGCGCCGACACAAACAAAAAATGTCACATGGTGTTTTCGACAATCACACCTCGTACCCACTGGGCGGTGGGCACCGCGCCCAAGCCTCTGCCCTGGTAGTAGCTCTGCGAATGGCTCCCCGCGAGGGCTGGCCTGTCGGTTCCAACGTTCTTTCAGCCTCTGACATTCCGCATCAGTTAAGAGGGGGACGGCCCGCCCGCCCGGCTTGTTTACATGTTTACAGTTTTCCCCTCTCGGCTCAGAATGGGGACTACT